ACTACGCTTATTTGTATTCTCGTATAACATGTATTCTTGCTTTATTATAAATATGTATATAGGACGCGACGTTTTATACACACATACACACATACAAGCGGGGCACACACTAGTCTAATAAGTTAACAAATAAGGTCGCGATAACCTTCAGGAGATGAGACGTGCGCTATGTGGACAGGAGATGACCATCAGGCGATGCACCATTAGCCATACCGATCAGAACAAGTCACCAGTTGTACAGTTGGGAAAACATCCTACGAACTACAGTCGGTCAAAATAGCATAACTAGAATTTTTAAATTTTTTCAATTTTTTCATTTTTATGTTTGTTCGTTTCATTTCCTATTTTTAATTAATATTTAAGATGCGATTGGAAGTGTGCCAAATGATTACTTCTGCAGCTGTTTCTGTTCATCTTTCCGATTTTTTTGTACCGTTAAAACATCTTTTTGACGTTTTTTTGCTTCTTCCAGATCTTTTTCAAATTCCTCACGTTTCACTTCATCTTCTTTCAACTCAGACATAGCAGTCTGTCTGAAAAAAAAAGAATATGGAATAATCAAATCAACTAAGCAAAAATTACGCGAATAAATAAGGAATTAGTTATACACTGCCAGAAAAAAAAATAACGAACAAGGTTTAGCATTACCCTTAATAATTAAAAAAAAGAAAAAAAAACTTCTAAGAAAACGAACTTTTAACATGGCATCGGCGGCAGTGAGGAAGAGAATTTCAAAGGTTAATCGTATTTTTTGGCATAATAGCATGTAAAAATTAATTTCTAGAAAGTTAGCAAGAATTTTCTTTCGGAGCAACTGCAAAAAATATCATAAGAAAAAAATAAGAAATTTTTTGAAAATTATTTGATCTACTGCCCTCATTGCCTCATAAAGTCTGCAACATTAGGAAACAGTATTCATTATTTAAAATATGAAAAAAACAATGTTCAGGTAAAAATGTTGTGCAAAGAAAGGAGATGGACATTAATCCTTCATTTCACCGGCTTGCCGCCAAAATCATCTGTCTAAGAAACACAGAATACCGAAAAACCCAGCCAAACACCGTCGAATTTAGCAAAATGAGCACAAAACCCAGCCAGATATCGAAGTTTTCCAACTGAGCGGTGGCACCAATTAAGCTGCATTAAAAGTCAAAAAAATGGTTCGGAAGCAGTAAAATTTAGCACAAAAATGCCAACATTAAACAAATAAAGAGCAAAAACACAAAAAGGATGAAAAATAAGGGTGGAATTTACTTTCCCGGAAGCTAAATATCGCATTTTATACGAATATTTCCGTGCTAACTTCTAACTTTGTTATCTTCCTAGCTTCCAATTCCGAAATCGAAAAATTCTGAAAACTATGACTGAATTCCCGCAAAAAAAAAATAATATTATTTCCATATAAAAAAAAAAACTCCTCAAATTTTCTTAATATTCAACGGAAAGAAAAACTCACCGTTCTGCTTGGTGCAAGCGATTCTTAGCAAGTGCAATACCGTTGTCAACACGCAGTTCAGTAATCAGATTTTTCATCGGACCTTCGGCGTCAGTTTTCTCTTTTTCCGCAAATTTCATGCGATTTAGCTGAGCCGATCGTTCCTCTTGCAACTGGTCAATCTTTTGTTGGAGTTTTTCGATCGGAACCTTAACGGAAAACAGTAAAAGATCTGTGGAAACTCCACGAAATACCAAGTTATACAATTTAAGCCTTATTAAGTTATACAATTTTACATTTTAAGCCTTAATTACTAACTTTTAAATTATATTTATCCATTCCTTTGTCCTTACA